ACTACACTCTATGAATGTTTGTCAAACCTTATTTATGCATCCTATTGTTTCCAAACATTTAATATCTAGACATTACTAAGTGTTTCATGTCTGTTTTCCTCAGTGATAAGTTCTGTCAACTGACAATCCACCGTTGCTACTGTCATCAATAAAAATGGCTCAAGTGATTTTTGTTTGGTGGAAAATTTCCTTATTGAATGATGATCTCTTCTCTGTTCTGTGAATTTATTTCCCTCCTAAAATATGGTTAGGATTATCATCACTGGAAGGTGGGATTATCATCACTTAGATACCATACATCTACACCAAGGTTTCTCAAACCGTAATGTATAAACCCATCACCTGAGGATTTGATATAATGCAGATTCTGACTCACTAGGTCTGGGGTGGGGTCTGAGCATTTCTTTTCTTTTTTTTTTTTTTTTTGAGGTATTGATTTTCTTCTTTTTTTAATTTATTTTTATTGTTGTTGTTGAGAATACACACAGCAGAACATACACCAATTCAACAATTTCTACATGTACAATTCTGTGACACTGATTACATTCTTCGAGTTGTGCAACCATTCTCACCCTCCTTTTCTGAGTTCCTCCATCATTAACATAAACTCATTGCTCCCTAAGATTCCTATCTAATCTTTCAAGTTGCTGTTGTCAATTTGATCCCATATAGATACACTGAACATTTCTAATAAGCTCCCAGGTGATACTGATGCTGCTGGTCCACGCACCACACTTAAGTGTCAAGGATCCAGAAGACACTAGGAAGCAGAATCTAGATTCTCTGTACCCCAAACTCAGAATCCAAGATAAGGTAGCAGGTGTGGAGCAGAATATCCCTCGTCTAAACAATACAAGAAAGCTATCAAAAAGCCTAAAAGGAACAGACACAGGAGGAAATGCTCGCGATCACTAGCCATTAGAGAAATGCAAATCAAAACCACAATAAGATACCATCGCACCCCGACACTACTGGCATTAATCAAAAAAACAGAAAATAACATGTTGGAGAGGTTGTGGGGAGACTGGAACTCTTATGCACTGCTGATGGGAATGTAAAATTGTACAACCACTATGGAAAACAATATGGTGCCTCATTAAAAAGCTAGAAATAGAGGGGGAGCTCATACCATCAAGAAAGCAGTGCCAGGAGCAGAGCACATCCTTTGGACTGGGGTCCCCGCGCCGAGAAGCTCCTAGTCCGGGGGAACACTGATGAGAAGGCCGACAGAGAGAAAAAGCCTTCCCCCGGAGCTGACACCCTGAATTTGGACTTTTAGCCTACTTTGATTGTGAGGAAATAAACTTCTCTTCATTAAAACCATCCACTTGTGGTATTTCTGTTATGGCAGCACTAGATGACTAAGACAGGATTTGGTACCGAGAAAGTGGGGTGCTGCTCTCACAGATACCTAAAATGTGGAAGTGGTTTTAAAACTGTGAACGGATAGACATGCGGCAGTGACAGACGACCAGCAGCAGCAGAGAACCTACAGCAGCAGAGAAGCAGCAGCAGTGGCAGCGAACCAACAGCAGCAGAACCAGGAGACCGGTGAAAGACGGCACTGGAGCCGACCCACGGAGCGAGAGAGCTGAGTGCCTGTGTGCAGGAGGCTTCCTGGCAGAGTGGGGTGCCTCTGGGCACTTCTCGGTGGAGCTAGGCTTGCCGACCCATGGAGCGAGGGAGCTGAGTGCCTGTATGCATGAGGCTTCCTGGCAGAGTGGGGTGCCTCTGGGCACTTATCGGTGGAGCTACAGCGCTTTGGAACAATTGCACCAGCAGGGCAGATGCGGGCATGAGGCCCGAGAGCCAAGAGGCCATAGGAAACAGAAGCTGAAGAGAGAAGGGACACAAGAAGCTGTGCTGCCTCAGTCTCAAAAGGTGTATGTCTTAATAGCTAACCAGCACAATAGAAAACACAGGAGAAGTAAATAAAAAGGATACCCAAGATGGGCTGAGATGGGCCACCAAAAGAAGTCAAACTGCCTGTCAGTGAAGCACTTCTGGACTATCACTGTCAAATAAAGGAAAATGCAGTAGAACGATTCATGGTTCAATTAAAGAAACTTAGAGAAAAGAACCAAAAGTATCATGAAAGATTTGGTGAGGAGTGCCCGGACTCTTAAAAGTATGTGAGTGGCCATCTAAGATACTACTATTGATCTCTACTCATCCTGAGCAAAAGAGAAAGAAGGAAATCAAAGACTCAAAGAAGAAATTAGTCTACAGGACTAATAGTCTACACGAAACACTGCCTCATCTACCCTTAGACCAGAAGAACTAGATGGTGTCCAGCTACCACTACCAACCATTCTGATCAGGGCCACAATAAGTGGACCCTGATAGAATGGGAGAAGAATGTGGACCATAACCTTAAATTCCTAAACAAAAAACAAAAAATCACAACAAAAACAAACAAACAAACAAAAAAAAAACACTTACTAGACCTGTTCAGATTGGAGGACTCCCTGAGACTATTGCCCCAAGATATTCTTTAAACCTTGAATCGAATCTAGCCCCTGAGGTCACCTAATTTTTACTAAATAACAGATTAGCTCACAAAATAAAAAATATCATCCTTGGGAAAAAAAAAAAGCTATAATAGAAATACCATACGACCCAGCCATCCCACTCCTAGGAATATATTCTAGAGAAGTAAGAGCTGTCACAGGAATAGACATATGCACACATATAAACAAATTAGGTAACATACACACAATGGAATACTAGGCAACGATAAAGAACAATGATGAATCCGCAAAACATCTCACAACATGGATGAATCTGGACGGCATTACGCTGAGTGAAATAAGTCAATCACAAAAGGACAAATACTGTATGAGACTACTACTATAAAAATTCATGAAAAGGTTTACACACAAAAAGAAACAATCTTTAATGGTTAGGAAGGAGGGGAGGGGTGGGGATGGAAAAACACTAAATAGGCAGTAGATAAGCAGTAACTTTGGTGAAAGGTAAGAGAGTACACAATACTAGGGAAGCCAGCACAACTTGTCCAAGGCAACATCACGGAAGATCCATAGACACAACCAAACACCTTGAGAGACCGAGTTACTGGGGCTGAGGACTCACGACTATCTAGGTCAACTGACATAACATAGTTCATAAAGAAAATATTCTACATCCTACTTTGGTGAGTAGCGTCTGGGGTCTCAAACGCTTGCAAGCGGCCATCTAAGATACATTTATTGGACCCACCATGTTCGGAGCAAATGAGAATGAAGAAAACCAAACATACAAGGAAAATATTAGTCCAAAGGACTAATGGACCCCATGAACCACAGTCTCCACCAGCCTGAGACCAGAAGAACTAGATGGTGCCCAGCTACCACCACCAACCATTCTGACAGGGATCACAAAAGAGGGTCCTGGACAGAGCGGGAGAAAAATGTAGAACAAAATTCAAATTCACAAAAAAAGACCAGACTTACTGGTCTGACAAGGACTGGAGGAACCCCTGATACTATGGCCCCCAGACACCCTGCTAACTTAAAACTGAAGCCGCTCCCGAAGTACACCTTTCAGCCAAAGATTAAACAGGCTTATAAAACAAACAATAACACACGTGAGGAACGTGCTTCTTAGTTCAATCACGTATAGAAGATCAGATGGGCAGCACCTGCCCAAAAGCAAAGATGAGAAAGCAGGAACGGACAGGAAACCTGGACAAATGGACACGGAGAACCCAGGGTGGAAAGGGAAAGGGGGAGAGTGCTGACAAATTGTGGGGATTGCAACCAATGTCACAAAACAATTTGTGCATAAATTTTTTTTTATATTTTATTATACTTCAGGTGAAGGCTTACAGAACAAATATTTTCTCATGAAACAGTAGTACACATGTTGTTTTATGACATTGGTTAACAACCCCACAACATATTAACCCTCTAACTTCTCAACATTTTTTTTTTTTTTGGGGAAAATACACATAGCCAAAGATACACCGTTTCAAAAATTTCTACATACACAGTTCAGTGACACTGACTACGCTCTTCCAATTGTGCTGCTATTCTCACTTAAGATGAAGGTTTACAGAACAAAATAGTTTCTCATTTAACAGTTACTTGTGCATAAATTTTTGAATGAGAAATTAATTTACACTGCAAACTTTCACCTAAAACACAATAAAATTTTTTTTAAAAAGCCTAAAAGGTATGGCCTTAGACTTCAATCTAACAATCTGTAGGCTCACTTTTGATAGGTGTGGATGCCATCTAGCTTCTTGAACAATGACATTAGCTTGTCTAAGCAGTTCACACACCATCAGATGCTTGTTTAGTAACCTTGGCAACCAATCCTCCCGTACTGTAGCTCTCCTCCCTGCACCTCAGCTCTGTGGAAATGGTGATGCGTCAAGGTCAGGATCAGCATGGCCCAAGAACAGAGCCCCCATGGGTGGCCATGGAGAGGGCCCAGGCCAGGAAAGGTGGGCAAAGTGATGTGGAAGCCTGAGTGAAGAGCTCTGAGGGGCAGAACTGGATGGATAAGAGCAAATCACCACCCTCTTACACTGCAAAGTGCATCTAATTTTTCAATATTTCATGTTACATTGTAGGCAGAGAAATCACTACACCTGGAGTTAGGCAGAGATGAACTGGCTCATTTAAACAATAGCTTTGTAAAATAGGTTGCCACAAAGAAAGGGTTCTGGCAGTTTATTTAGGTGCTTAAATGTGCCAGGTACTGTACTGAGGGCTTTACATACATTATCTTGCGTATTCATGCAACAAACTAGACTAGGGATCACTGCTGCCAATTGACAGATGAGGAAACTGAGGCTCATGGAGGTTAACGGACTTGTCCACAGCCACACACCGGGTATAGGGCAGACGAGGGTTAGAATCTGGGTCCTTCTAACTCAGATGCTAGTACCCTTAAACGTTATACCAAACTTCCCCACCCTGCATCCCAAGTCCCATCACGGGAGCCACAATTCTGACAATGTGTGGAGCACGGAGATCAAAATCACACACACTTACATTGCCTTCCTTTTCAAAGTCCGGTGGGAGTAACTTCACAAAGTTATCGGGGAACACTCCTCGTCTGCCGTTGAGTTCTCCTTCCCACCAGCCTAGGTCGATGCAGTCCTAGGAAACAGGAAAGCAGACAGTGAGAAATGGGGTGAGCACCTTCCAGAGGGTCAGAGGGTCGCTATGAACTGGAATCAACTCAACAGCAATGGGTACCTTCCAGAGAGGTCTGACATCGCTTTGGAAATGGAGGCTCTTTCCTTGAGGAAAGGAGGAAACTATCAATGTGACAATGGTTACTAAGACTAAACACACCCCAAAGTCGGATGGGAGAATAAAAACTTAAGTGTGTTCGAGCTGCTGGCTGGGACGCAACACCAAATGCTGCTTTTAGATGTCCCCAAAGCAATAAAGTCTTTTTTTTTTTTTAAGATAGGAGCATGTGTATTTTCTTAGTTTTAATTTTACTGAAATAAAATTGCGTTGACTGCAAAAGCAGCTTAGAAAATATCACATGCACAAACGTCCTCTTTGATTAGCCCGTCACGAAGCTTATTCAGATTAAAAAGGGCTTTGCGACAGTCAGCCAAGCAGAAGGAAAAGCACGCTTCACACCAGCTCACGAGTGCACCGTTCTCCTTCACCTTCTCCTTTCAGCGTTGATGGGGCACAGTTGTCGTCATGCAAAGCCCTTTCCCCACCCTGCACAACTCAATGTTTCCTCAGTGTATTCATTCTTCCAGATCAAACCTGCTTTCCTTTGAATAATCCCTACTCTGTTATTCATTCATCAAACATTTATTGAGTGCCTACTCTGTGCCAGCCACTGAGCCAGGTGTCAGGGAGGAAGCAATGAACAAAACCGGCAACAGCCCTGCCTTTGTGGACCTCCCATCCTGGGCTTAACAGCTCCATGGTTCTCCTAGGCGTTCAACCTCATACCACAAGGCCCTTTCTATTTTTTTCCCATATTCACTTGGTCCCAAAAACCCCACTGCTGTCAAGTTGATTTGGACTCATAGCGACCATATAGGACAGAGTAGAACTGCCCCTATAGGGTTTCCAAGGCTGGAATCTTTACAGAAACAGACTGCCACATCTTTCTCCCACAGAGCAGCTGGTAGATTTGAAGACCTTTCAGTCAGCAGTGAGTGCTTTAACCACTGCACCACCAGAGCTCCTATTCACTTGGTAGGGGTCCTATATGCTCTACTTTTATATCTTACATTTGCCCTCTGTGTCCAATTCCACTTCTATCACCCCAATCCAGAACTTGTTTGGCCTACTGTAAACCTCCTTCCTCAGCATCTCTTCCTGCCCAGCATACGTGCAATACACACTGCTGTCAAGTACAGCCTCCTTGAGTACAAAACCGCTCCTCAGTCTTACGATCAACAACTCCCAGCTTAATACAAAATGAGTGAAGGCTTTCCAAAAAAACTGCTATCTACACAGAGGACTCATAAAGTTACATCTGGGGCTGGAAGATGATGGAGGAAGTGAGTAGATCATGCTCAGCGCTCATGGAGAGACGCTGGTGGTCCTCCCTACCACCAGTGGGACTGGGCTGGGGTTGTAAAGGCCCCTTGGTGTCGGCCCTTAGAGGGCCACAGCATATGTGGCTCACTAGCCAGTCCTTGCAAGATCAGAAATTCCAACAATGTGAGGAACACATCTGTCTCGTTCACTGTTATACTGCCAGCACACTGCACAATGCCAGATTATAATAAATACTTGTGCAATCAGTAAAACTCTTTCTAACCCTGAGTTCTGTGATCTCCTGCAGTCTAACACTTTGATTACTGCAGGACAAACTAGCCTCTCTCTACCTCAACTTGTGGGAATTCTATATATGTTAACATAAGCTCCACCTCTCCCTTCCCCAGCGCTGTCTGTTACAAACTGACCCCTTAAAAGAGAATGAGGATTTTGAAAATTGGTCCTTAATCACAGACTGTAAATTCTAGCCCCAACTAACACCAAAAAACAAATACCCTTGAAGCATCAAGTTCAGATTTACCTAGAACAAAAAGTTCAAAGGACTCCCAACACAAGAGAATGCCCATCTTTCTTGGAAAATGATAATGGGAAATCCAGGAAATAGTCTGGTCTTGCTCATGTCATACCATTCCATAAGCAATCTGGCATCATTTCCCAAAGAAGGATCCACAAATAGGATTTGATGGCTTCTGAAGTTCTTCCAACCCTGAGATGTTATAAATGTCATCAACAATACCAGAGTAACAGAGGTAGATGGGGGTAGAATTTCTTTACTTTTTTTATCCTTAGGGGAGCCCTGGTGGCACAGTAGTTAAGAGCTCGGCTGCTAACCAAAAGGTCGGCAGTTCGAATCCAGCAGCTGCTCCTTGGGAAATCTATGGGGCAGTTCTACTCTGTCCTGTAGGGTTGCTATGAAGTGCAATCGGCTCAACAGCAACAGATTTGGTTTCTTTATCCTTAGAAATTAAGTCTCTCAATCCAGAAGGCTCTGCTTCTGAGGAAATGCCTGGCATAATTTTTACTCTTCTTTTCTTGGATGTGTCCTTCTCTCTCATGTTCAAAACCCAACTTAAAGTTTACCTTTAGGAAGGAGAGTGTGATGAATGCTTTACCTTTTCTCTAACACTCAGTACGGTATTAATTTGCACCTCATGATATTCAACTCAGTAAACACCTATTAAAAGCAAAATAGATTTAAGTTCCTCCTATAGGAGACTTCATCTCACAGAATTTGGACATGTTATCAGGAGGGACCAGTCCCTGGACAAGACATCACGTTTGGTAAAGTAGAGGGTCATCGAAAAAGAGGAAGACCCTCAACGAGATGGACTGACACAGTGGCTGCAACAATGGGCTCAAGCATAACAACGATTGTGAGGATGATGCGGGACCCGGCTGTGTTTCATTCTGTGTACATGGGGTTGCTATGAGTTGGGACGGACTCGATAGCACCTAACAACAACAACATAGGTACTGCAGTGCTTCCAGACTAAGACTTGGAAAACAGGCCTGGCAATAGATTCACTTCCAAAAATCAGCCAGTGAAAACCCTATGGGTCACAATGGTCCAATCTGCAACTGATCATGGGGATGGTGCAGGACCAGGCGGTGTTTTGTTCCACTGTGCATGGGGTCACCATGAGTCAGGGGCCAACTCGACAGAAGCTAACAATGACAACATAGGCACTGAACATTAAACATGTGAAGAACAAGGTCCCTATTCCCAGCAGTAACCCATGAACCACTGTAATGATGCTTTGTTTTTTGCTTCCGTGTGTGAGAAAAACAATAAAGAAAAGTTTAATAAGCAAAAGCACATTCAGAATAACATTAGAAGTATTGCACCTCTACAGGGAAAATGTGCATAAGTGACACTAGATTTATTATATCTCCCATCGGTGGTGACTGGCTTGGATCTGTACTCTGCTTCTTAAGGAAAATATTAACAACGCTAATCATCGCATAATTCAAAGCAAAAGAGGGAAAAAGCAAAGGGAGAACACAATATGTCTAATTGTTCTGATCGACAGATCAAGAAACACAGGCTCATGTATAAGATAAGCACATTCAAAAAGCAAACCGCCAGTATGACTTGAAATACTAAGAGAAGTGAAAAATGGCACCTGCAGCAGGCAGAAAATGGTCCAAGGGTCAGGACACCTGGGGTGGGTTGGCCATTTACAGAGAACCTAGGCATTTTTTTTTCCAGCAACAGAAGTGAAAATAAGTCCTCTTCAACAAATCAGAAAACAAAGCTATCCTTTTGATGGTAGAGATGAAGAGGGCTGTGCTTCGAGAAGTGTAAAATAGCAGCCAATTTATCTATTGAGGATGTAAAACATGCAGGATAGGAGAGGAATTCAGGGGAAAAAGAAAATCATCTTATCCTCATGGGGCTCCCAAGCTCACAGCCTAGTGGGAGAGGCAGACACAGTGAATCAGTATTGCCCAGAAATACCAGCAAGAGGACTGGGCCAGATTCAAAAACAAGTGGGACCAAGAGAGGCTGGCAGCGTGGAAGGACAGAACAAGGGCAAAAACCAGAGGCAATGAGAAAGGTCAAGGGCAGGATCACTGGGAGTGGGGGAAGGGAAAAGGGAGAGATGGAAAGCTGTGGTCACGGAAGATAGTATTCCAGAATTGGAGGTTAGAGCTAAGCGAGGGCTTGGCTCCTGGGAGGCCCCCAACCAACGTCCACTGAACAGCAATGGTGAGGCAAGATGGCACCCATGAGTGACAGGGGCAAGCGGTCAATGACCTGTCAGGCCAGAATGTCATCAGGGTGGAAGTGGATGTACTCCAGTAGGATGGCAGAAGCTGAAACCACTGAGGAAGGAAGCAGTGTGGCCAAGGCACTGGATGATTTTAGGGTAACCATATCATGTATTTCTAAACCTGGGGCACTACAAATAATTACCAGCACCACAGGTGTAACCCAAGTTGATGGTCACCCTAGTGATTTTCAGACTCCAATAAGAAGAGGAAAGGGTGGTGTGGGCAGGTGGGGGATGGTCTCTAAACGAGGCAGGTGTTTGCAGTGGCCAAGAGTAAAAGCTCGGCATGTAGATGAAAGCTTACAGACAAAAGCTGATTAGAAAGAAGCTTCATTTGCATGAACGGAGAAGAAATAAACCTGTGCCCTTATCAAGAGTATGAAAAGAAATTCTATTTCTGACATAGAATGTTCACCCTTCTAGGATCAAATCCTCAAAATGGCCAAAATGGTTTCTCCATGCCTCATCACCAGGCAGATATTAGAGTAAAATAGATTTTTTTCTTAAAAACACCAATGATGTTTTCCTTTAAAGCAATGAATAAACAGAGCCTTAGGATATGCTGTAGTCCAGCCTCTCCTTTCTGCAACGTCCCAGCTATCTGGTCTTTGTTGGTATGTCATCAGTAAGAGACTTTGCTATGTCACAAGGTAGCTCATTCCCTATTCTGCCTGATATGTTTGTGCGGAACTTGGCGGGAGGGGAAAAAGAGCAAACTTGGCCATCTGATACTTCAGTGGCCCACGAGTGTTGCAAACCGGCTGGCTCTCAGTTTCCTGATGCACACAGAATGCTGTGCCTTGTTAAGAGTGACACAGAGGCTGGTTGTGAGTCCCTGAGAGG